CCTTTCAGAGATTTAATGTGCGTTACGCGACGTAGGCAGGTGCGACGAGAGAAAGGGAGAGAGAGAGAGATAACGAGAGAGATAACGAGAGAGATGCATGGCCCGGACGAGAAACAAAGCGCGATTTATGCGTCAGTCAGCGGAATTCGCAATCGCCCGTGATTTTTCTCCTCTTCGACGCCCCTCGAAGACAGGATCTTGGCGAAACGCGCGCATTATTTTCAGTTTCCGTTACGGTATTTATGAGAAGCGCCGTGCGTTCGTCGCGCAGGAATGTGCGCATCACTGGAAAACCTTGTGGCATCTCATCCGGTGCGACTGTCTACACCGTGCACGTAATGGTGAAAGTTATCTTTAATGCGAATCCCGAAAGATATGGACGATAGAATGTTCAAAAGTTAAACGGGATGAAGAAAGAGATGGAAAAATAGCAAATTTTATGTATATTATAATGTAGCAAATTTAAAAAAAATCTAATTTTTATGTATATTATAATGTAGCAAATTTTTAAAAATCTATCTAAATTGAATTAAAATTAGTGATACGGATAAATTAGAATATTGTGTATGTTAAATAATACGGGCAAAATACATCAAAATAAAAAAAAAATTATGCTAAATATATTAATATTAATATTTTCTAGAGTTGTCTCGCGCCAAAATTTTAGTAAGTAACTTTGAGCTTTTTCTTTTAAGTATAGTGTATATGTTTACAAATCTGTGCCAAGCGTGCTTGACGTTACGGCAACATAGATTCATGTTGCAATAATATTTACAAAATATTGCATTACCGCCGGAATTATCACACTTTTAATTTCGATTTGTAAGAGAATTCGTTTTTTCTTTTTTTTCCTTAAGCGGTGATAAACGTAGAATTCATCCATCGAACAATCACTATCCTTGGCCTTAACCTTCCACTAACATAAGTTTATTGACGATATATACCTTTACGAAGCACCATGCAATTATGAGAAGCGTCAGTGATTACAGACCTTGACGTCGTTGAACCAATGAAATAGCGCCATATACATCGCGACCTTTTTAATCCTGCATTTACGAGATGAATGCGTTCTGTATATATACAATTACGTTCAATATATTTAATTAATTTTAATTTAAACTTTTTTAAATTTAAATTTAAACGTTTTTAATTTAAAAATTTCTTGTCTTTAGAGGAAGATTAGATGCGTCTTTTTTACGCGACAATCGACTGTGACGTTTTTTTTTAGCGTGATAACATCGTTACAAAATCTACCAGAGGTAGCTGAATCATTTGTACAAGCTAGAGCACGTTATCATGATCACGCGGTTATGCAATCTGCAATTCTATTATCAACCTGTTTGATAAGATCGCAACGAATGAGTTATCGTAGTTGCTCTCGACTGATATAAGCGTTTTTATTATGTCATGATTTCGGAGTGTTACAACGGTTTATAGCATCGTAGTGTCTTTACACGCCTATTTTTTGTTTTGCGTTGGCTAATAAAATCATTGATTTCAATTGTCGTCAGAGCTATAAATCCCAGGGGAATATATCGCAAAAACAAACATCATCTCGTTTAGATTTTTTATGTTTGTCCAAAGAACACTTGATAAAAAGAACGAACAAGTTCTGATTCGAATAATGATCCAATAATAGGAAAATAATATTTCCAACAAAATTGCGCTCTGTGTGTGTGTGTGTGTGTACTTTTCAGTATTACATTTCTTGGCCAGTATATATCAAATAAAATATCTATCAAAATTAATCAAGCTTTCATTATCCATTCATATTTACGGCAATTATTTTCTATGCACAGCATTAAATTTTTCGTTAATTATCGCTTATTTAAAAAAAAAAAAAATTGTTTTATTAGGCACTTATCTCTCAAAATTTTAGAGTACGATGCTGTCCATATATTTACATAACATGATATCGTCGATATGTCAATACTAGGATTTTGAGTGAGCACATGTGGCGCTAAGATATTGCTCGTGGCGGAAGCGAATCATATACACACACACACACACACACACACATTAAGCTCACGCGGATGCTGACGAGAGGAATGCGATATTCGCGGGCGAGAGCGCAGAAATCTGGAGGTCTGCCAATTTGTACGACGTCTAAACGACTGTGTTGCGAGAGGACTTTGCTCTTTCGAGGAGTTCCATGACTTTACATCCGTTCCGCGCGTTTGCCGACAAAACCGCATTATCGAATCGCGATGCAAAATTAAAATCATGCAGAAAACTGTAGGAAGGATTAAAATTAATAATTATTACTTTTTTGTAATCAGGAACGTAACTTGATCTGAATATATTCTCGGGAAAAATCTTTTCGAGCAGGATCATCTCTCCCATCTGCAATTTCGAGTTCACCAAACTCTTCATATCTCTCATTTAACGCCACTTTTATCTCGTATGAAGATCGCATACAGCGTTACCTGAGTCTGAGAATCGAGCAGTCGCAATTAGTGTTAAATGCGCGAATGGGGAGGTCTAAATTTTATTACATGCCTATTTCTCACGATTAACGCAAACGAGATCGACGAAGGAGGCGGTGAACGCGGTATTGTTGAATTATCGTAATTAATGAGCGGGACGGGGCGATAAATCAGCGCGGCCGATAAATCTCAACGACGGCGCGTCGAGAGAGATGCATTTTATCGCGTATATTGCACCGGGCATCGATTCGGGTATACAAACGGGACGCAACAGATATAAATGCGATCTTCGATTCGATCGCCGGCCTAGAGAAACTATTGACCTTCTGCCGTCATGTTTTCCGCATTCCGCGACACGTCCTTTCAGGGTCAGTAATCGCGACAAAACCTTCCCCGTCGATTTCTACATATATAGTCGAGGGCTATTATATTATCTGTTAAAATACGAATTCGAAGAAAAAAGAAAAGCCTCCTCTCGTGCAACAACGTATCACGTTTTCGATCCGATTTAAATTACGTATCGCTTTTATCGAAAGAGATGAATAACAAAACGTAACACACAGATAGAAAGGCTGACCGGTAACTGACCTCTAATCACATTGCTTAAGGCAATCGCGCGGAGTCCTTGAAAACGTCGCAAATATAGGATCGAGAATGGACGCTAAGAACGGAATCTAATTACATGACGGCGACTAATTATCGTTGGAGACAATGTCGTGAGAACGCACGTTCTACGACTGCTTCAAACCGCGACAACCGCTGTTGCGAAGATCGACATGTATGTACAAAGATATAAAGAAATTATATCGCGAAAGATAAGGAAATATTACAAGAGTTTTAACTGATCGCGCTGTGTATTTATCCGTCCGGAATCACGCTCTATTCACGGCGTCCTGTTTTTATTCCAACTGTTTTTGCGGTTTCGGCCACCGGAGGCGGGGGGAGAG